CAACCCAGCGACTAAACTCCACTTCTTAGTTGCTGCGTCCACCGCTTGCAACCACAGCTCTTTTTTTGCAACATCATAGCACAACTGTCAAACGAATTGCGCATAAATATGTGAAGCACCAAGTTGAATGACTGAATACGATTACGGATTTCCCGTACAACTCTACACATTTTTTAAATCAGTGGCCATTCTGACATGTGAAATTCCTCCCACACTCTGCTTACTGTTTTAAGACCACTTCCTCTCTTCCTCTGGGAAACTCGGTCTTGCCTAAATTGAAATTAAACTTCGAGATTGCTAATTTCGTGAATATCCTTGTACGGTTTTCCGATGTGAAGTCACACCCGCAGCGACTATGAAGCTCGGCAAGAACTCGAAGGATATACAAAAAAGTAATCACGTATGAGACAGGACGGTGAGGAAGCTGACATAAAAAAACAGCACGAACTGCCAGAAAAGAAAAAAAAACTGATTCAAAACTGCCGTACCTTGAACTAGCTGGAAATCCGTCTGTTTAAAGAAAACAGATCATAAAGACGCTAAGCACGTACAACAGGCCAACATAACGTGCCTGCCTTAACACATGAATGAGAACTTCCTTGTAGCGGTAACCACAACAAGACCAACACAACTTTACAGCATATCACCAAGCAATAAGCAAAGCAACCGATCCGTTAGATAGCACGCGATTAAATCCGTTGCTATACAACACAATAAAGCCTTCCGATACTGGAATCATCGATAATTAATACAGTTAGTAACGAAACGTCCCCAAAACAAAACTACCAAAAAATTTCCACGAAACCGCGCTAAATAACAAAATACTAATATTTCCCATATAATTTCACTTGAAAAAAACCTTTTTTGGTGGAAAATGTGGGCACAGGGGGACTCGAGAAGCGCGCCAAATTTGCATGAGCGTATGTTATCCTCGCACCTACTCGACCCAGTATGTAAAGGAAGAAAACCCAGACTGAAACGCACTAGACCAGCCGGTGCGATCATACGTTTTTGCACCAAACTTAAATTAAATCAAGTGTATGAACGGTTGTTCCTTCACACCTGCCTTCTGCACTCAATACCGTAAATTATCGCAAATTCTGCATAAACAGGAGTAAACAATTTCCGCTTAGCGGTCGTTTTTATGCGTTTTTTGCATCCATGCAATGCAGAAAGCACATATTGACGAGGGGTTGTCTGTGTGTGCGTCTGTCACGGTTTTTTATCTCAAGACCTACAAAATCTACAGAGCTGAAACTTGGGGACTTAATCTACATGCACGCACGGCCACAATCCGCAAAATGGGCGCTCTTACCCGCATGGCGCCCACGCACGGGCCCGCCAAAGTTTCTTTCGCGTAAGTTGCTACTTGAGGACCTGAGAAGCTAGGGAAATGGAATTTCAAGGGGGCATTCCCCGTCCGCGTAGGTGTTAATGAGCCCTAACCCAAACTCCGGTCATGTGTGGTACCCACGTACGGGCCCGGGGAATTTTTTCGGGTAAGCCTCTAATTCAGGAACCTGAGAAGCTAGAAGACTGAAATCTTAAGGTGATGTTTCCTATCCAAGTAGGTATTAATGAGCTCAAACCTAGACACCGGGTATGCGTGGTATCCACGTGCAGGCCTGTGAAAGTTTTTCTCAAGTTGCTAACCCAAGAGCCAGGAAAGCTAGAATGATGAAATTAAAAAGATGCTTCCTGACAGTCCTGGCACCCAGTCTCAATTCTTTTAGCTAGAAGCATCTGCCGGAAAAAACAGCGCCGTTAGCGACAAAAATCTGCAGGGAACTATGCAAAATACGCATGTTCGCACCCGCAGTCGGTGCGCTGGCCATTTTTTGAAAATGACCCAACTGTTTAATAAGTAGTTTTCCCGCTAAAAATTCAAGTGTGCGTACACAAGAACCACGCGCACGCGAAGGCTGAATTTGAAACCTTTAAGTATGTTTGGACGGGAAATGCGCTCCTAAAATCTCAGCTTTCCAGCTTTTCTAGTTCCTGAGTTAGCAGTTTTCCCGCCAAAACTTTCATAGGGCCGCACGTGACCTGGGAACATACCTGGGGGCTGGGACTGAAATCTTTAAGTTGCACGTGGGCTGGAAGCATCCCTTTGAAATTTCAGCCCCCCTCCCGCGCTTTCCTGGTTCCCGAATTAGCCATTTTCCCGCCAAAAAACTTCACGAGAGCGCACGTGAGAACCACGCATGCCTGGCGGTTGAATTTGAAAATTTCAAGTTGTTCATGTGATTAGAACATTCCTTGAAAATTCCAGCCTCCCAGCTTTCCTAGTTCCCAAGTTAGCGATTTTCGCGCCATGAACCCTTACGGGGCCATACGCGGGAACAACGCACATTCGGGGGCTGAATTTAAAATCTATGAGCTCTATGTGGACGGTGAACATAATCTCAAAGTTACAGCTTTCTGGCTTTCCCCGTTCTCGAGTTAGCAATTTTCCCGCCAAAAATTTCACCTCCTCCTGCACGGGGCCCAGATTTGTGTAAGGATTGGTACCGCGGTTCTGGGGTGGCACTTGGCCGGAGACCCTACTGAAAAATCAGAAACGAGTGTGTTTTGCAGCGAACGACCGCCCTCATCCAAATATGTAAATGAACATTCAGTTCATCTGCATACTTGGATTTTCCGACGAACGACCGCTCCACCAACACTTCCACTTTTCAGTGAAGTGGGAATTTGCATTTTTTCAAAAAGCGAGTATTTACCGAAAAGATGCAAAAACTGGTAATCATGCAAAAACTGGTGATCATGTACTTGGAGGTCCATGCGGCCCTATAATGCAACATCTTCATCCCAACCGACGCCCTTTTCCTGCATGCCGGAAAAGGCCAGAGCGCGGCCAATATGAGTCCAAGTGTTAGGCTACAGCGTAGGGGTCATTCCTGCTATTAGCGATCTGCGAGTTTAGTGCGAAAACGCATGATCGCACCAGCAAGTCTCCTGTGTTCCAGCCGGAGTCTTTTTTGCTCTCTGAATTCGAAGGCCAGCACTGCGACTCAGAAGTCTAGCTTCCCAACTGGTAACACATGGCGGCACCAGAAACTACTTCGTCACTGTACTTGAACTAATAAGATAGATTCCAGCGCTACCTTTCAAAGCAGTCAGAAACAGACGGACCATCGGTGTAAGAATCTGATATTAATGATGTTACTGAGATAATCCTACAAAAACCATGCCTTATTATCCCGGGTTACATAACTCCAATGATCACTCATCGTCTATTCAGTGTATATGCACCACCTCTTCTGCGGCCATCCGAATAACTGTTTACTTTCTCATAGACAAACCTCACTAAGCGCAATATTCATTGGTGCCATTAAAATGATCTGCCCATCGAAGCACACTTTCTCGTGCAGACGTGGAACACTTTACACATCATCCAACTGACAGAAACAATGACTGCTTATATGGTGACGCCCCAATGCCCCTTCCGTCAAACTTGCGCTCACCTTGGTCATGTCAGTAACCATGGTTTGCATCCGTACGAACGTCCAAAACAATGGCAGTGAAGAGGCAGTCACAATTCTTCCGGTTCAACACTTTAAGAACATTGACGATACTGTGAATCTGCGCCACCGGTAGCCCCTCTATGTGTTATTCCCTAGAAGAAGTGACAGACAGACAGACAGACACACACACACACACATCGAATAGCTGCTATCGTCTGCTGAAGGTAAATACTTTCTATTCATAGCAGGCATAACTGAAGAACACCAAACAACTCGCAGCGATGTCTACACCATCCAAGAGGCGTAAGTAGTTTAACTGCTCGTCTTTAATGGTCAAACGATCTTTCCAGTCTATATTGCGGAATGCAATCCTGAGACAAATCCTGAAAGGCATGTGCGATATGGAGCCCCCTTACTCTACAATCAGTTTAAGGAATACGACTGCCGAATAGAGTATATTCGATCGCTTAACAAGTCACATACAGCCCTCATCAATCCTACCAATTACAAAAGCTCATAGCACTGTATTCAACCAGATGCTATCGAATACTTCTTCATAATCAATAAATAGTACGAATGAGAGAAAACCAGAGTTAATACTCAGCTGCGCGTTTCATCACTTGTTTTAGGGCGAAAAGTTGGTGCGTGTTCTAATACTAATTCAAGATTCAGCCTACTCCTTTGGCCGATGTTCACCAAGGAGTCCCGCTAACATTAACTACTAACAATCCTCCTGATGAAACTGCAATTACGGCAGGCAAATAAATCAGACGACTTTAGTTTGTCTTTATTGCCCCTCCCATACAGTATGACGGTTTTCGGACGATTACCAAAATTCGGCTCAGCTCGGCCACCACTGAGATCCGCTCTCGTCTTTCTGCT